TGTTGTGGCTCTGTTTGCTGAATATGCGTTATGTATTTATTTTCAGCGACTGGAGGCAAATATTCCCGGCTTATGTGACTTACATCAGCGAGAGTTAATGCAATCAATGCATGGAATACAAGGAATTTGGTATACTGAAAAATCGGAAAAGAATTTTGAAGAATTTATATAAATGTTAAAAGGTTCGCAAGCTTAGAAAAAAAACTACATACCATTTTCCAACGTTGCGCATTCGCTTGCATACTTCAAGAACTTTAAACGTGAACTGATTTTATAGTTCTTTGCCGTTGCTGGTTTTATAGCGTTTCGCAACTTCTGAAAGCTATTTTACTTCTCCATTTCTTTTAGGTCTTATTTTGTTTCTTCACGTTTCAGCACTTTCTTCTGTGTGGCTTTTTTAAATTAATTAACCATTTTAAGACTCCATTTATGGGAATCTCATTCTATTTCTGCCAAAATTCTTAAGCGTACGTAGGCAGCATTTACAGTTCTTTGCCGTTATATATTTTGTCATAAATCTATGAAAACATATTTTATTTGTAACACAACCCATATTTAACTACCCTGCGGGAATCCCATAGCACTGAATTTATGTACACGTTTCGTGAACTTTGTAGTTCTGAAGATAAGGGGTTGGCTCTTAAAGTCTCATCGCCTTTAATAAGACACGGTAATCTGGCCTTTGCAGAGTATGCCGGTGGAACAACTAGATGGACAAAATTCATTTCCGTGGTAATTTTCAATAATGTATCATATTTCTGGGGGGATTTGTTAGATCCACTCTACTAAAAAAAACTGCGTACTATTTGTGATATTGTGGAAATGGATTTAGAAAATTTGAACCAATGTATATCGTCGGTGGTACTGCAAAAAGTTCTATGTCTATTAGTACCCCTGACACTTAGATGTCTCTTACGTGCACCGGAATGTATCTGTTAATCGTTAAACCCTAATAAACCAATAACAAAACTGTCTACCTTTGGCTGATGAAGATGAACGGTTGCCAGAAGCGATCAGATACAGATTAACAGATCAATTAAGCACCAGAGGTAATAAATGACATAGAAAGTTTTGCAGTATCACCGACGATATACTCTTTTTACTATGTTACACATTTGAATATCCCAAAGTAACGCGGTGACATGAGGTGTCACCGGGCTATATTTTGAATATATGATTGCAGCATCATTTGTGTATATAAAAACCTGCATATGGATGAAAAACTTTTCAACGCTTTTGAATAGCGACACAGGTGTTGCGTTTTATGGAAAAGTAATCGAACCAATATGTCGTCAATGTCTTTACAAAACCGCTTTTCTTTGGTTGGTTTTTTTTAATAACGATTTTGCCATTTTTGTGCAAAAATCTCGATGCCTGTAGTCCACGGTTACCAAATCTAATTTTTGTCACTACGCCTTCAGGCGGTTTTGAAACTGGTCGATGGGTGTTTTCGCAAATCATCGGCGATAAAGGGACAACGCCCACGTCCCTCCACTCGACCAGGATGAGGTGAGAACAGCAATAAGGCGGCTTAAAAACATGAAGGCCCAGCAAACCAAATTCTGCGTAAGGCACTGGATTTGCAAGTCGACACACACTATTATTTTAGTAAATTTTACAGTCCTCTTAATGGCACGACGATAAGCTGCTTGCATGACACCTGGTCTAAATTTGGGATCCCTGCAAAACTGATACGGCTATACAGAGTGGCACAGCCTTTAGCTCCGTTCAAATTGGGAAGGGCCTCTCCGCGCCGTTCGAGACCACATGCACGAGTTTTTCAAACTGGTGCTGGAAAGCGTAATACGAGTTGAAAATCTGAATCGCAACAGCACCATATACAGCAAAATAACTATGCTGTTAGAATATGGAGATGATATCAACATCGTCGGCCAGGAGCAAAAGTATTTTCCGTCACTGTTGGCAGCTATGACTTTGAAGTAGGAAAGGACTTTGTCTACCTAGGATCCAGCATAAACGCCTCCAACGACGCCAGCCTGGAGATAGAGCGAAGAATAACTGTTGCCAACAGGCGGTAACTTTGTGCTCGGCAGAAAATTTAAAAGCTCAGCCCTCTCTCGGCAAACAAAAATCACGCTCTGCATGTCACTCGTCATGCCTGTCCTTTTATATATATGGCGCAGAAACATGAACGATATCGTACAGGGATGCTAAGGCTTTGGGTGCTTACGAACTATTCTACGCAAGATCTACGGCTTTGCTCGCGTGGGCAACGGGTACCGAAGAAGATGGAATGACTCTGTACGAACTTTTCTTAGCGACATGGACATAGTTAAGCGCATAAAAATACACCGATTGCGCTGGCTTAGACATGTTGTACGTAGTTAAAATATTCTTCGACTCCGCACCCAAGGATGGGCAATGAAAGCAAGGGCATACGCAAACAAAATGGAAGGACCAAGTGCAGAAGCACGTGTCTGCATACGGAATGAACAATTGGCGCAAACAATCAAAGAAGACAAGTTTTTTTGATATCGGTCCAAATCGAGAAATGGTTATATTTAGTGCCAGAGAAGAACAAGAAAATAGCTTTCTAATTCGGGACTGAGTTCTCGGCACCGCGTTGTCCTGCATTCTAGTTAGCATTCATGGCCACACTTGAAGGTTTTTATAGAAAGTTCTCGTTATCGAGTCTGGCAAATTGTACTACTTACTACAGGAAAATTGGGGCATAGAATATTAGAGCAGTTCTGAACCTTTTACTGCTGGGTTATAATTAATAAAAAATTCTTTGACTTTTGCTAGACAGCGGGAAGTAAGGAAGAAGCAACATTAAACCCAATGAATAAAAGCCGTTAAGTGCGATTTTTAATCATTTTCAATTTTATGGACAATCTTCTTTGGTTGGCATCTTTTCTTCTTCGCTAATCTTAAAAAATTTGTAGGCACTTTGTTAGGTTATTTGAATAAATATATTTCGCATCTAATTTACATACATATTAAAGCAAAACAAATGAATGGGTGTGCATAAATTTCAGGTTACGCATTGGATTTAACTCCAAGCGATCTGCGAAAAATTAAAAGAGCTAAAATTGTTGGCTCAACTAGTTGAATAAAACAAAACTTTTTATAAAAAGGCACATTAGACTGGAACACGAAAAGATTTTTTACAATGTCCGACATTACATAAATTTTAACTCAATACTTATGTATATAAAAGAGTGTTAAAGTATAAGAAGAGATATCTCAGAGCGCTCACTGACGTAAACGTGCGTTAACGTGTCAGCTGACACGATCAAACTTATGAGAGCGACGGTTACGCGTTGTTGCTACGTCAAACAGACACGGCATACGTACACGTCGGTGAGTGTGGGCACCTTAAGGCTTTTCTAGTTACTACAACTATAGAGATTAAAGTTTTGAGTAAAAAACTCAAAAGGAGAAAATAGTCAAAGACTCAAACTACAATCATTTCTAAAATTAAATTTTTGATTCTTTTGCGGTTTTTGCATTTTATTCCTTTTTTGCGAATTCCAGTGCCTTTTCTATTCGCTGTTTTATAGGTTTTTAGGGCCTGGTAATAATAAAACACATTTTTGGAAATTTCCAAGGATATTCAATGATAAAGTTTTAAAGTATACATATTTTCAATACTTATTCGTCCTAGTGCACCCAAATTTTTTTTTCTATTCTACACAATTTTCCTTTTAACTTTAACTGATTGTTATTTTACAATGCACCGAATCTTCTGAATAATTTTTTTATTCAATCTATTCTAGAAATTTCAAAGTCCTTTAAAAAAAAAATCCTGACGCCAGAGAGAAAAACTAAAAACGCAGTTTTACTATATTTGGCCCCCAGTTTTGTGAATATATTGATTTTTTCGTGTGTAAAATTTACTGTAGCACGGTGTAATAAAACCATTAGCGCACACAAGGGGTGGGTTTTGGGGTTCAAACACCCCCTAAAGCTAATAACCTCAAATACAATCTGTATCTTAAAGCTAAGAATCCAGCTCTCAAGGAAATTATAAGAAATATTTATTATAATTTCTGTTGCTTGAAAAAGCGCTTTGCTTTTGCTGTAAATTTTCATGAGGGAATAAATATACGAGCATTTTTTTTTCTTGAGAGCTGCAAACTGATTTATGAAATTTTGGTAGAAGAAAATTTCTTTTCCATTTCTCGTCCGTCGTTTTATATGAATTTTTCGTTTTTCTTGAGAGTTCAGTTAATTTTTTCGGTATTTGAAATATTAAAAAAATTAGCAATCGTGAAAAATCACCATCTCTATCGAAAACCAGAAATCGAAAAAATGAACATAGAAGTGCAAAAATTCATGGAATCAATAAATTTATTTTTACCGACTCTTTTTTAAAATTTTTTTCAGGTACTTTTGAAAGTTGAGCGCATCTTGAGTTTATAGAACTTTTTATTAAACAAGTAGTTTTTAAGGAAAGAACACAACCGACTTCAATTCTCATATTCAAATTTAGGGGTACCGTTAATTTCTTCATGATCCAATCATCGGATCTCTAAAACAAATTACGGCACGAACCTTGAGGTACTATCATTCTAATAAAAAAATGATTATTGAAATCGGTTCACGTGGTCCAAAGTTATGTATTCCGGCGAGATGATAACATCCCTTTTTTTTGAAGTCGGTTAAAAGCGTTTGAGTTCTGTTAATCTGTAAATAAAGTGCAGTTTATGAATTTTAAAACGTTTATTTATTTATTACATACTGTACATATTTAAAACTTGCATAAATGTATTTTAAATAGGATATTATCTGAAGCAAATTTTCAGTATTTTCCGGTGATATATCTTCAGAAATATAAAACCCCCCCTAAAATATATTCCTGGGTGCGCCCCTGAATAAAACACATTTCGAATTAAATTTTTTTTATTACAAAAATATATTATTAAACGATAAAGTGTAAAAAAGTTAAGTTCCTAAAGCAATTCAACCGTAAAACCAGTTATTGCTAAGGTATCCTAAAGTGCGAAAAAGCTTTCATTTACCAAGTTCCATGCGATTTACTTCTTTCTGTAGACGTAACCACCGTTAGATGCATACTGGGTACCAACATCACCACCAGAGTACGATGAACCACCTGACGAGAAAGACGGGGAACCACCCGATGAGTAGCTGGAAGAAGAGAGCCCAGAAGAGCCACCGCTAGAGTAAGAAACTGCTGGTGCAGAGTAAATTGGAGCTGGGGCTGGAGCTGAGTACACCGGTGCTGAAACTGGAGCAAAGTATTCAGAAGAGCCACCACTTGAGTAAGAACCACCGCCAGAGTGACCAACTGCATTACCACCAGAGAAACCAGATGATCCACCGCTAGAGTAAGAGTAACCGCCGTCACTGACGCCTAAAGAAACTGCTGGTGAAGAGTACACTGGAGCTGGGGCTGGCGCAGAGTAAACTGGAGCAGGTGCTGTCTCAGAGTTTGCTAGAGCTGGAGCTGGGCCAGTGTAAACTGGAGCTGGTCCTGGCTCAGAATGTAATGGGGCTGGGGCTGGAGCAGAGTTCACGGGAATTGGGGCTGGAGCAGAGTGAACTGGATCAGGAACTGGATGAGCGTACACTGGAACAGAAGCTGAAGCAGAGTGCACGGAAGCAGGAGCAGGTGCAGAGTAAACTGGAGCAGGAGCTGCTGCCGAGTATACCGGAGCAGGAGCAGGAGCAGAGTACACTGGAGTTGGAGCTGGTGCAGACTTAGCTGGAGCTGGAGCAGAAGCAGAAACCGCGGGTGCTGGAGCTGGTGCCGAGTAAACGGGAGCTGGAGCTGGTGCAGAGTGAACTGAAGCTGGAGCTGAAGCAGATTCCGCGGGTGCTGGAGCTGGTGCCGAGTAAACGGGAGCTGGAGCTGGTGCAGAGTGAACTGAAGCTGGAGCTGAAGCAGATTCCGCGGGTGCTGGAGCTGGTGCCGAGTAAACGGGAGCTGGAGCTGGTGCAGAGTGAACTGAAGCTGGAGCTGAAGCAGATTCCGCGGGTGCTGGAGCTGGTGCCGAGTAAACGGGAGCTGGAGCTGGTGCAGAGTGAACTGGAGCTGGAGCTGAAGCAGAGAACGCGGGAGCTGGAGCTGGTGCAGAGTAAACTGGAGCAGGAGCCGACGCTGAGTGGCCTGAAACAGGTGGGAGATATGCGTTGGATGGTACAGAGTAAGAAGAACCGCCACCCGAAGAGATTGATCCACCTACGGCACCAACTGACGAGTATGAGTCTCCCACTGATCCGCCTGAGGAGTAAGAACCACCAGTAGAACCGCCCGAAGAGTATGAGATACCACTACTGGGTGGTAGGTACGTATTCGACAAATGGCTGACGTCAGCCGAAGCGAAGACGACCAAGGCAAGCATGGCGGCAATGAAGAGGTTCTGTAATAATATAATAAGGAAAGGGAAATAAGTATGTGGGTTACAATGAGCTTAAAATAAAACTTATTTTCATACACTATATGAAGTATGTATATAACTAAGGCAGTGACTTGAAAAATATTCAATAATTTTGATAAGTTCTTCCCATAACCCACCATTTTGCTCTGATAATTATAATTGGATAGGTTAAGACTACTTAGCTTAAAGAAGAAGCAATTGGAACTGATGCTGAGCCACTAATTGGCCGATGAATTTATACAAAAAAGTGTCTACGCTTACATGCTATTAGGAATGTTAATCCCGGGATCCCGGCCTTTTCTAGGTCCCGAAAATCCCGGGATTATTTGCAAAAGGGTGTCGTTTCCTAAAAAATTGTTCTTATTGTTATACCCAAGCGCACTTGTGCACAAGGGTATATTAATTTTGTTCACATAACGGTTGTTTGTAACAGCCAAAAGGAATCGAGATAGATATAGACAAATGTATACATAAATGCTCAGAATGAATAGAGAAATCGATTAAGCCATGTCTGTCTGTCCGTCCGTCTGTCCGTCCGCCCGTGTACACGATAACTCGAGCAAAAATTAAGATATCTCAACAAAATTTGGTATGTAGGTTTCTGTTAATCCAAGGTAGCTTGGTATTGAAAATGGGCGAAATCGGACTGTAACCACGCCCACTTCCCATATAACGGTAATTTCCAGAAATACGAAAACTGCGATATTTTAGTAACTAC